TGATAAGAACTGATAACTGATCATTCTACTTCAATTTTTTTTCCAGATGAGTATCCAGGTGCCAGCTGGTGTAAACGCAGATGCCACTGACGTCAATGGAGCTGTGTCAGTTTACACTAGCTGAGAATCTGATCCCAAGTGTGTTAGTGCCATTTTTAGACACTGCCACTGGAATTCATTTTTGCAACACAATTAAAAGTACATCCACGCATTGCATTTTTTCTTGTCCCCAAGTGTATAACTGGAAGCCTGTTGACAGACTGTGGGAGAGGGCAAGTGGGAGGTGGAAGTAGCCAACAACTGTATCCATGAGATAACTTTGCAATATGAGTATTAACACTATTGTTCTGTTGTCTTCCTTTTATACAAATGAATATTTGCCTTCAAAAAGTCTTAACTCCACCCTCCATTAACAATTCAATGCCAGCAAAAGAAAAAAGATGCTGTAAACCATGCAAAGCATCTACCATATAAATATGTTAACGTACTATTTTAATCAGTGCACAATCTGAACAGACTGTTTTAATGCATCATTAGAGAAATTTTCTAAAATTGTAAGAAACCCCCCAAACCTGAGATCTGTGTATTCACCTAAGTATTTGTTCCTAAGTGATCTCACTGCTGTACAAGCAGTAAGATTGTTAAAAGTACCAAAACAGCCATTTGAAGTAGCCTGCAAGCCAGACCTGTCTGACATCTATCATTTATATTTCATCGAGCATTTATGTGGGGGAGGGAGAAGGGAGAAAGGAGGAGGTGGGGCAATAAACAGGGCAGAGTAGTACTTCACAGCTCCAGCCACAATTTCTAAGTAGGGAGAGGGAGCTTTTATTGTTTTACATATGGCAGCTGTTAAACATGAGTGTACTGCATAACAGTTGCCAGTATTAACCAGTACAATGAAGCTGAACATTAGTCTTTTGATTCAAGATATCAAGGTCAAAATGGAAAAGCTAACTAATTAGAACCGAAGATGCAGTTCACATAGCATTGGAGTAATTGTCTGTTTGTGCAGCACAACACCCATATCTTCAATTTAGGTCAGGCCATCAAGAGGAGGAAAAGGACTGAAGATGAGATGCTCTACTTCACACAGTTGCCCTCTGGAAGGACTGGCAAAGGCAGTCACTTAAATTAAGTACAGGTCATCAGACAAGATACCTAATCTATTCCTAAGACAGCAGCTCTAGCAGTCCAAATCCCTATGGCCTTTACAGCGACACAACGAACTACTTCCTCATGTACCTCTGTCAATTCACATTAGGTTCCAATTTTTTTAAAGCGATATTTCATGTACACCATGACCCTATTGCTCATAGCAAGGAAAGTGCTTTGGTTTATTTATGACCTACTAACCTTAAATAAAAAAACCATACATCCAATCTGAATGTTCACATAAGCCTGCAGATCTGAAATAAAACTTAAAATAAAGCTGACGTTTGTAACAGCTAGCTAAGCCCAGTAAGGGTTTTTTAAAAAAATGAAAACCAGATGAGAGAAGATGAAAGCATTTTTACCCTGCATAACCTGCACACATCAGGAATCGGGGCTGGAGCTCAGGAACACTTTTTTGTGTTTTTGTACTTACAAGTTTCAGCCCATTTCAACAGAGGCTAGGTAACCAAGGAAATACTGAGGTTTTTCTGTTGGGGGGTGGGGTGGGGAGGGAATAATAACAACCTGTGAAAGTAATTCCTTCTAAGATGCAATCCACCCAGCTGCAAGCTCTACATAGCTCCTCTCCTTCCCCTACACCCCGTCCTAACTGCCAGGTATCAGCCAGGCAAGACCCCACGTTGAAATATGTAGTGACAGATGGAAGCAGGGAATAAGAGCATAGGACTAAGTACTGAAAGAAATGGCGTACAGAAAGAAAACTTATAACAGGGCGGATGTTAAACATGAGTGACCCTAAACCATAAAGTCTATTCATTTGGCTAGGACAACGTTGAACAGATGCAGATGCACAAAAGACTACTGAGTTGGAGAGCCTTACTCTCTCATCACTCATGCTGGTGTAAGAAACTCCGTTCGTAACATCTATTGAATTAAACTGTGGAAGAGCCAATAGTAATAAATGGAGAAAAAAAAATATCAAACTTCAAAGCTAAAGTATTGGCAGCAGTGTCCCATGCTGTTGTATCAGCAAAAAAAAAAGGTTGACTGCCACATTTGGTTAGAATTCAGATATATTCATAATCACAGTGGCCCTTCTAAACAAAACACATCTAATCTACCATAAAGAAGAAAATTAGTTGGTTCCATTCTTGTCTAGTTCCCCAATAGGCTATATTAATGACACTCTGTCTTTAAGATATATTTGATAGAAAATACAGTTGAGTTAAATGATGTAATAAATACCTCTACATGCAGAGCAATTAGTTGAAAGAAACAGCTAGGACAAAGTCCTTGTCATAGTGTTTGTTTACAAAATATATGCAGGCAGCACACTTACGACCTGCAGTCTTCTGGTGCTGGTTCCCTTTATGCAAGTACAAAAAAATTTAATAAAACCCCCCAACATTTATAAAGATTTTTAAAATAATCAGAAATGGATGAGAGAGTATAAGACATCTTCTACCAAAGGACAAGGCAAACAAACAGCAATTCATAGAAGCCAAAGAATCACTCACATAATTTCAGTGCAGCAAGCTAAGAGTGGACCTAGCAAAAAAGAATTCAGACCAGCTGAGCTGCGAGACCACCTTCTGCAGAACTCTGCTCACAAATGCAAATAAGGTACAATTCCTAGGTTACCATGTTTTACCTTCTGATCCCAGTCTCTAAAACCCCTCCCCTACAACATGAAAATTGCAGCCCTGCATAAATAAATAAAAATTTAAAAAACATATATTTTAAGAATGAGGAAAATTGAGTTGGAAAGCTCAGAAGATTGGAAAAAAGTGATGTGCTACTGTGGAAATTTTAAAGAATAAGCACTTTACTGTGTGATGATCAAGTTCTGGATATGGACAGCATGCTGCCACCTAAAAAATATATGAAAAGAAATTTAGGTCATCAAGCCTTGACGTACATTTGCCTTTTTTCCTCTGGAAAACTATCATAACAGGTTCTGCATGTATGACAATTTGTAAGGAAAAAAGGCCTTCTGTCTAAGACATTTGCTGAGAAATTAAGCCTTCTTAAAAGAAAATGTAGTTTTCATCAATCCTAAGCAAGTTTAAATCCAATTGAACCATGTCAGCAGAAGAAGTTCTACTCAATCGGGCAATCTATAATTGGCAACACTGAGTCATAAAACTCTTCGCCAGCTCTGTTCATATATGGGATCTTGTGTTTTCGTTTTCTATTAAGTTCAGTTTCGTGAAATGACAACATTAATCCACTTGTGCCTGGATCCCCAGCCTATATTGTCAAAACCTGAATAAGTGAAATATCTTTTCTTTTCATAGAAAGAAGTTTGGAAAACTGCCAGCTACTTGCACAGACTGAAATAGGATGGGCAAAGAAGGGTGTTGGTGTCGGTAAGAGAAAGATGACTGAAGTTGCATCATCTGTATGATTAAAATCATTGTGTGAATTTTGATTTTCCCCCCCTCCTTTCAGACATTTGAGGATGCTGTGAAGTCAATGGAGTTCTGTTGTAGTGGTTGCTTCAGTGAACATTCAACGCTGTCGGTGAGTTTGGAATTCAAGTGAAAACCATCGACCGTTGATTGTACCCTCCAGCTAACCATCCTCCTCCTTACTTCATGCTTTCAGGCCTTAACACCGAAGATAGCAACCTAACCACCACATGATGTTTCTCCCCCACCCTGCCAAGCTTTACAAAAAAGGTCACAATCAACATTCATTGCTGTCGGTGGGTTTAACTATGTGGACAAGCTCACTGAACAATGAATGCAACTGTGGCCCCACATTTTGCAGTTGCCGTTGAAACGAACATCAGCTCTGAAAGCCGTAGTGAGAAGCAAACACTTCTTATAGGCTACGTTTTTCTGGTCAAAAAAATAGTTGGGGATATTCACTTTTTGCTTGCTTGTTTTTAAGTGTGTTTAACTTAGCTGACTGAAAAAAAAATCACTGCCTTTTTCTGGAATATTGTCCTCCCAGTGTTCACATAAACTATAAAAATTCTTATTCAGTATGTATGTGGAAATAAATAATAATATGGGGAACTTTGTGTATCATCCACTCCTAAGGACTCTGAGCATAAGAGGAAAGAATATTTAAATCTCATTTTAACTAGGCATTGTGGAATAGTTCAAAAATTTCTTCTACACTTGTCATGACAAATACAAATGGGAGCCAGAGTTCAAAGATACAGATAAAATGTTATATTAAATAAAAGATTCATTAATTTTACATGAAACTGATTTTAAGCACCTAAATAGATACTGTTAGACAGCAAATACTATTACATTTGCCTTTTTTAGGGATCTGAAAGATGACAGAGAAATGTATATCCAGTAATAATAATGGAACAGTAGTTAAATCATAAAATTACTGTAAACTTTGGGTACCTATGTCACACTCTCAGTATTGCTGATCATAAGAAAATAAAAGTGTAAATAAAGTTTACAACTTTGTCCTTATTTCCTTACAACCCTTTGTTAACCTGGTCAGACACACAAAAGGACCAGTCTACATTTCTCACATCACACAGTCATCCAAGGTAAGTTCAGCCTTTAGACGTAGCGCAACTGCAGGTATTCGGCAGTAGGAATTGCTTCTAAAAGTTAGGTAATGGCACAGCATTCACGTTGTTCCTCCTCACAGTGGGGGGGTCCATTAACAATACTTTAGTCTGATTATTTACAGTTTCCTCGCACATCAGTTACACAACAGTTATCTTGTGTACTGTACTTGCTTGTTTTATCCATGTTTCACCATGTAGCAACTGAACAGGATACAAGCCATCAAGGCTGTCATGGAAGGCTACATCTCTAGTTGCTTCTTAAACTGTGTTACCGTTGTCATTTATTTCAATCATAAGAGATCAGTCCTCAATCCCAATGCGAGACTGGTATTTATAGGGAAAAAAATCAGTTCCTCAAAGACATAACCACACTAACAAATTAAATCCTGGAATTGTTTGGACATTATTTAAAATCGATGTTTAGGAAGATTATATTTTTTCATTGCAATATTTACTAGAGAAGAACCCATGGGGTCTATTGCTCACTGGATACTATTGTGGTCAGAGACAGCAGAGTTAAGTATTAAATGGAAGCGTTGCTATGGATGTATGACTTCTCAGCAACTCTGTTCAGGGATAAGCCTGTATCTTTAAGTTTATTTATTTCTACAAAAATGGGAACTTGAATTACTACTGACTTACATATTGCAGATAAAGATCATATTAAAAGCAGGACTCAAAGGTATATATTCTATCTAGAAGGAGAAGCTTTCAAATTAAGTTGTAGCTAATATGTTCTTGCAACAGTATGCATCAAGGTTCCTTACTGGAAACTAAAAATCAGGTCTTGTTTCTGCAATACATTTATTAATGCTAGTTATAGTTGTGTTATGTATGTTTAACAGAGAAAATACTTACCAAAATAGATTCTGGAATTTGGCAACACTGGAAAGAACCAGTGTTCTGGAGCATGAGTGGTTTCTGTATATATGTTTTCTATGCTAACTGATGTCTGAATGATTAGCACTGGGGAGAGAGATTCCTGTGCAGGAAAGAGGTAAAGTTAGTTATATCCTTTTCTAAGGCAATATTTTTCCTCAAAACACATGTTTTTCCCTGATTTCTATCATAATTTTGTTTCATACACTCATTAAATATTAAACAGCAACAACTCCTACCCTACTAGAACAGGGTGCAGAAACCTCACCCAGCATTGACCTAGGCACAGATAATCAGTCCACACCCATTACAAACATAAAACAAATATTTTCACCTGGACTGCAAGTTTTTACTGGTTTCTGAAGAACAGACTCTGCAGCAATGGTCTCTTTTAATAGTGCCTAGTATAAAATTTATCAGTGATTTTAGTGTCATCATGTTTTCATATAGAGATAGAAAAAATGTCTTCTTAGTGTACAGATATATAATATTTCATGCAACTTAACTAAAAGTCCACTTCTACAGACGAGTAATTTACAGAATGTTAATTGGCAAAACAATACCATTATTCCACACCCCACAAGAGATGCTGGCTCACACACGTCTTTCCTTACGCCATAAAGCCACAGAACAATCCCATTTTGGTAGCAGTAGCTGTGAAATACTGTGGAAAGGTTTCATGGTAATTTTCATGGGTTTTTTTTGTTAATATGCTATATATGTACTCAGAGCAATACCCACAGGCCATATAGACTTTCTAGTGAATTGTAAATAATTCACTCAGCAATATTTTTAGGCCAAGCATATCAAAGTTGCAGTAAACGCGATGGACCTTGACATAATAGGAGCACTAGTTTTACAGCAGCGGAGGAGGAGGAGAAGGAATGTACTTTCCGTACATCAGAGATCAGTTGCTGTTCCCCAGTGCACGCAATACTGTGCTGGAAGACAGCAGAGGTGGTACTAAGGGCTTGTTATAAGGTTTGGAGTTGTTGGGTTTTTTACTTAGCTCTAAATGTTCTTTTTTTCCCCCGACTTCTGGCATAAGAAGGGTCAAAACATCTAACCCAACGGTTTCTGCATCGTCTATAACTTCTGTTTAGCAAGTACAGAAAGACACTTGGTTTTACCTCTAAATTGCAAGTCAAAGAATGCCTATGATAGAAATAGTCTGTGATATTCAGGACCATGGTAGGATGAATATGTTAGACCCGCTTTTTGGCACAGCCTAACGCCACCACACTAACATCTCTTGTTTTACAGATGGTGAAGTGACATACAGTAAGTTAAAGGGTTAACTATAGAAGTAGTCTATAGTTGAACTGGAAGCAGTATCTAGACAATCTTGGACTCCAATTGTGTGTCTTTCTGGAAAAAAAAGAATAATCCTGTAATTCTGACTTTTCCCTAATGCAAACACCATGTTTTTCTTGCTGACCACCCCCTTTTTCTTTTCTTTTGATGTTTATCTTTGTTACTTGCCAGAGTTACACTGAAAACCTTTTTTTTTTTTAAGCACTTGCATGGTGACACCCACTCCAGGTTAATTTTTATGTCTTGCCCTTTCTTTTATTTAGGTTTGTATAATTTTGTCTTAATTTTTCTTTTTTTTTTTTTAGTCTTCCTGTGCATCCTCCTTAACTGCGAGTGCCAGAAACGCAGACCACATTCCAAACAGCCCAGCCAAGGCTAGCTGAAATAGTTTGATGTCTCCTTATTTTACAAACAATCACTGATCCTTTTCAGCCAAAAATAGCATTTGTAATGGCACCACACAGTTAATACATTTAAATTTATCTAACATTATTCCATAGATACATAACTGTCCACAAGTTCTTTCCTAGTTTGAAATAGATTATTTCATCCCCTTGAAATGCAGCACTTGCAATTCTTTGAACTTAGAGATTTTTTTTTCAAAATATAGCCCTCCTCTCCCCCTGACAAATCACTAAGGTTTTGAAACTTAGATACCATGGCAGCATGTAGTAGTAGGAATGAATTTTGAATACAAACAGAAGCCTATCATGATTTAGCAAAAAAATATTTAAACTTGCCATTGTATTTCATGTCCCCCCCATTATTTTAATTTTAAAAGTACAGACTGCAAAAGGGGCAATAGAAAGAGTAAATACAAAACCAGCAAGTTTTTCATGAACTAAAAAAACATTCCCTCTCATATGTAAATGAGGTGTCTCTTCAAGGTGCATAGACATAAGAGAACCACTAAAACATTTACCATTTGTCATTATTAGGAGATACTGCAGATACTGTCATATAATTTAAGCAAACAGAATTTCTGGAATGCAATTACAGGAGTTAACTACTGTCCAATAAGAAATGTATTAGAAGTAAAAAGATAGCACTGTTTTACATTATTGCATCCTCATTCTTTGTTCATATAGTAAGCATAATGGTTAACTGCCCCTCCTGCTGTCTGCATCCAAAGTGTATTTACAAGCTCAGTATTTTACATTGTTGTGTTATATCCTTCACTTTATAACAACCAGTAATCACAAATTGAATACACAAATATGTCTGACAAATATATGTAAGATAAGGTTTATGTTTGAGTTTAGGAAATATCGATCTGAGGAGGAAACAGGGCAAGTATTCAAATTGCACACCTTCCAAATATGGCTCTTATCAAATAACCTGATAGAATTGTCCAGTTCCTACATCTGCTGGTTATGAAACTGCCTTCACACTGTCACTGGAACCAAAAATAGTCTCCTCCTCCTAGGTTTGGATCTGAACTGATAGCAAAAATTTAGGGAAAGCTTCAGGTGCAGAAACTAATCCACACAAGCCATGAATTGCAACAGAAACTTTGTCTATATTTCACAGTAAATCAGATATAAGCCCCCAGCTCTGCAGCTAGCATATATGCCCATGATACATATTCAGACATTTCCTGATTTTATTTCATGAGATACAGCTGTTTCCAAGCTAGCCCTAAAAATTTTGATGATGTTTTAACAAAGCCACTTTAACCTATCTTAAGTTTGCAAATAGATTATCATGAGACCTGACATGTGTTTTGTTTGGAGGTCTGGTTTTTTTAATCGCCATTATCTTCTCTATTAGAAATGTCACACTAGGTCTTTATGATGAAAAACAAGTCTAAGATGGACCAGATACCACAATTCTAGGATACCAGTGTTCAGAAGGTCAAAGAGGCGAGATAGCTGGAAAGTGACATTCACCTGGACATTAAGATAATGGAAGATTCACTTTGCACTCAAGATAAACTACAATATACATAAACTATTTATCTAAACTACAGTATCACCTATGGGTAACAGCAAGTTATCCCAATAATCATGCTATTAAGCTAATTGATTGCATGGATATATTATTTAGTGATTAAACAGTTAAAATATTTTATCATAGGCATTTTGAAACACTGAAACAAAAAGAAATACAAAAATATTAATTTTAGCTAGTGAGAGCTGAGTCCAGGTGGTTGCCCTCAAAAGTCAACATCACCATCTGATGTGTAAAACATTCCCAATTATCATAAAGTACACCCTGTGCTAATTACTGTGTTTGCCTCAAAATAATGAGCCATGATAAGCCTAGAGTTCATCATAATAGATTTACATTTAAATGCCACCCAGTTCACTGCCTCATTATGAATATGCCACTGGTTACCACACTGACAGACATGATGAAATTACTGCATCTGCTGTCCCGCAGACTAGGGAGACCACAAACTGCTAGAGGGATACCAAAACTAAAAGAACTTTCAGACAGACATTCAGGATGCAACTGTAGAAGATGACAGAAAAAAAGACAGTACTTTAAAGACAGCAGCCAGCTGTGGCCTACAGAATATCTCGAAGGAAGTCTTTGTAACCTCTCCAGGAAGATCTCTGTAGATCCCCAAAACAATTGCGGGAGATCATTCCAGAAGTTCACGTGGATCTTGGTCTGCTAACTAATGAATTCCAATTCTCTGCTGGTTTTAGTCAACATACTTTCATTGATTTCAGTGGAATTAT